AGTTTTATATCTTACAAATAGGTTTCTCAAACACTCCCCCATCTGTCATTGGCCAGACAAACAGATGGTCCCGCCCCAAAACTCATGCTATTGGTTGAACCATGTTTCATAGCACCACAAAGATTTTAAACATTTTGGGATACAAATATCTTACATATAGTATTTAAAATAAATGACACACTTCACCTTTAAGCTCATAATCAGATGTCCCGAGATTTGTGTGAAATTCCTTCACTCAGTGAATTCAAATTGGGTCCTGTATAATATCTTCCTTTAGGCCTCTGCTGCTGGATCACCAGATTCTGGTTTCTTCCTACAAAAAAAAAAGAGAGAATATATCATTATTTCTACAATGAATGTGAAGCTGCTTTCTGTGTTAATGAGGCAGCTGGATTGTTTGTTTTCTGGGGCAATGGATAATAGAAAAAATAAATAAATTGTGAAACATGAGTTAAAAAATGGCAATAGGAAAACCAATTTAAATTGTGATTTAAAGCAATAGTTCATCAAAAATTTAAATTCTGTGATTATTTATATATATAGGCAGTATACCCATGAATGTCATATGCAGTTTGCAAAGTTTGAGGGGTAAATTATGACAAACTGGTAATTTTTGGGTGAACTATTCCTTTAAACCTGGTTGCATAACATAAAGCCCACATGCCATTTTTTGTGAATGACAGCTTTGATGCCCAGCTGCATTCATCCCTTTGAGGTTGGCACCTACTCGAATTTGGTAAGAGGCACTTTGTCACACGTGACCTCTGAATGAAGGCCATTCACTGCCCCACTGGGTGACTGAAGCTTTGGGATGCTGCCTCGTGATAGTGTTAGCCCGCTCAGCTTCACGTCTCTGTATCAAAGGACACAAGAGAACTGAAGCTTAGGGGGGGTGCAATCACACACAGGAAACAGCAAATCCATCTAAATGCAAAGCTCTAAAATTGGTCTTTTAGATAGAAAATGTTAAGTTCCATCTTAGACATAATATCAAAAGTTCATAATGTTAATTGTTAAGAAACATCTTTATGAGCTTTTTGAGAATGATTAATCATTTTGTCTATATGTATTCTAAAAAAATAGTTAAAATATAATTTTATAGTATTTAACACTTGGTTTGTTACTTCAAAATGCATTGATTAAAAATATTAGTTTTTATCTATCTATTTTATTAATTTATAGAATTAATTTATCTCGGTTGTTATGCTAGTAAAAATGTTCATTTCTAATTTAGTGTAGAAATTAACATTAAATATGGTTTTAAAAAATTATGTAAAAACCCTCTATTCTTTATTGTTAAGTATGTCTCAACTTTTATTTTGAACTTTATACAATCTTTATTGTGAAGTGTTATCGTTTCAATTGTAATCAGCTTTTGATTTTTTTTGCCATTATGATGTCATATACCAGTTCATAACAGTGAGGAATACAATAAAATGTATTATTTATTTATTTTTTACATTATTTAATTATTTACACTTCTATACCAAAGTAAAGTATCTTTGCACTTTCTTGATGTGTATGTACTTTACATACAGGAATAGTTCACCCAAAAATTTAAATTATGCAAGGACTTTTCCTCACACAAAGCTCGTACAAGTCTTGCAGACTTAATTTATGATACATTTATTGTGCTTTTGGTCTGTTTTGGAATGTTTTGCATCCACTTCTTGTGTGAAAACATTTGAAATTGAGGGAGGGGTTCAATTTTGAGGTGAACAATTCCTTTAAAGAACTATATGCAATCACCATGGGCGACATTTGACTCTTGTGTCAGGGGGGCAAGAAAAAAAAAAGGCAAAATAAATCTTTTTCGGATGTATGCATCAAAACATTGCCCTACCACGCATCAAATCAGTCAATACAGCACAGTCAAGAATAACTACAAGGTTGCCTGCATTTACTAAACTGTGGAGCTTTGACTCGTTGCTGATTTGAATGGTGATGCTTCCTGTTTTAAGTGGCCTTTAATTTTTAACCAGAAATGTGCACGCTTTTCTGATGTTTATTTAAGTTTTCCGTGTCACGTTTTTTTGTATTTTTCCCGTGTCAATTGAAATGTGTCCGTTTTCAATTGTTGTTACGAAAGGTGAGACGTGAGGAAAAAATAAACAATCAGTTGTGGGACTAGTCTGTCATAAATTGCATACCATTCATTTCTGACCTTTCTACCGTCCGTTACTGGAAATGAAATGGTCGATATGTCCCAATCTCAATAAAGTTTACACGCTTTCAGTCCGTGAACTGGATCTCGCTCACACGCACTGTCTGTGGAAGTTTGGCCAGGACCAGTTCCAGAAGAAATCACTGAGGCATTTTTGTCCCGTCCATTGCTTTGGTTATCACTGTGTCAATCTCTGATTCCCTTTCATGGGAACTTCGAGCTGCGTCCTCTAGGGGTCGCTATGGGGAACACCTCGTCGTGACCCATGTCTGAAGCATACATTGAAAAAACACCAACAACACGTTGGCCGGCGACAGCCATGACATCACTACCGCTGCGACTATAGTATAAATAGGCACTGGGAGAACACATCATCCTCTTCTTCGTCTTCATTGACTGTTTTGTTTGAAGCGTGCATTTCTGTGGTAAGAGCGATCTCTTTTCCTATCATTATGGCGAGCACTAGCAAAGCGTTTAAGAGGATGTGTGCATCCGTGTTGTCGTTGTTTAACATCTGATAACAGTGACACACACGATCTATACGTTATTTGTTTGGGCGAAGAGCACACACGTGATATAAGACACACACCTCATGAAAAAGATGGCGCCGGTGTACATGGCGTGCCGTCTACCGGCTCTGTGTGTCTTTGTTCTGTTTGTCCTCTTGATATCCTGCCTCACTCAACAAGTATCTTCATTGCTTATCTATGATCGGTCTCAGCTTTTATCAAAAAGAGCAACGGTGGACGCTTTTAAAAAATATATTTTTTAATTTCGTTAAATTAAAGCGGGCCTTGGGCGATAGTGAACTACGAGCCGTACTCCGCTCGTGCTGCTCGCATGATGTCACCGGGAACAGTCGAATAATCAACCGACGAGTAACGAAGGGCAAGCATGGCTGGATTTACCCGGTTCTGCCTGACAGGCGGACGGGCTGGCCCCGTGTGTGCACGAGAGGCATCGATTCGCGGAATCTTCGCCCTCTTCGCTGTGAGCGGCTCCCGGTGAGAGAGGATAGCACGATGCGGATGGCGATGCTTAACGTAAGATCCGTTGGAAACAAATATTTTATTCTGAATGATTTTATCATGAACAACAAGCTGGATTGTCTCTTTCTGTCCGAAACCTGGCTAAAGGTAGGAGACCTGTCTCCGATACCGGAATTGCTACCACAGTGTTACTCATATTTTAACTCGCCTAGGTTAACTGGGCGAGGTGGAGGTCTGTTGTCTATTTTTTAAAAAGACATCGGTTGTTGGAAAATATCGCCTGAACTCTATAATAGTTTTGAGCTGATGACTTTTTATATACCATTGACTAAGCATGCACTGGTTGCACTGGTGTATCACCCTCCAAAGCCAAACAAGGACTTTATAAACAAATTTTCTGACTTTATTAGTAAACTGGATACACAATATGATCGTTTTTTTTAATTCTAGGCGATTTTAATATACACTTGTGTTGTGGGCAGGATGTGATGTCCAGAGAACTGCTAAATCTGATAAACTCTTTTGATTTGACACAGTGGGTCAAAGGATCCACTCAAGGATCAAATTTGGGACACACACTAGATTTGGTTTTATCTTTCAACTTGCACACTCAGAATGTTGTGATCGATGAGGTGGTGTTTTCTGACCATAAGCCAGTGTTTTTTAATGTCTGCTTTGATGAGAAGTCCACAGTGCTTGTACCAGAAAAAATATGATCCAGAAAAATGTATTCCTTGACTAGTGGAGAGTTTGCCTCATTATATAGAAATCACTGTGAAACTACTCTATTTGAAGAGTCTCTGAAGAATTTAAGTGTTGATGAACAGGTTAATCACTTTAATGTTGTTTGTGCTGAAATCTTGGATAGTGTTGCTCCTCTTAAAGTTAAAAAATGTAAAGGCAAATATCAGCCATGGGTAAATGATTCTACACGGACACTTAGACAAAAGACTCGACAAGCCGAGAGGAGATGGAAAAAACACAAACTGCAGGTTCACTATGAGATTTTTAGAGAATCTCTATTGACTTTTCAGAAGGCTGCTAGATGTGCTAAACACAAATATTAATCCGATGTGATATCGCAAAATGCAAATAATTCTAAAATTTGATTCAAGATTTTAAATTCAGCCATAAATCCAGTATAAACTAGGTATCCTGATCCTTCCACTACTAAGTGTGAAGAGTTTCTTAATTTTTTAAATAGGAAAATTGTTGATTTATATAATAAGATAATGAAACCGCTTGTAGATCCATCTATTGACCTGGCTTCTGCCTGCTGCACGGAATGGACGGAATTTTATCCTATTACGTTTCCAGTTTTGGTGGACACTGTGAAGCATCTTAAATCTTCTTCATCAAAACACGATGTCATGTCTCCCTGCCTTTTCAAACAGGCTTTTGAGAGTGTTGGAACTACTGTGCTGAATTTAATTAACAACTGTCTCAGTCAGGGCATCTGTCCAGCTGGTTTTAAGCATGCTACAGTTCTCCCACTTTTAAAAAGGCCCAATCTGGCAGTGGAGGACACAAATAATTATAGACCAATTTCAAACCTACCTTTCCTTGCCAAGATATTAGAGAAACTGGTCTTTAAACAACTACAATCGTATACTACCTTAAATGCAATATGTGAGCCTTTTCAATCCGGTTTTAAGTCTGGTCATAGTACTGAGACAGTGTTGGTTAAAGTGCTAAATGACATCTATCAGACAATGGCGAAAGTGTTATTTTAATTCTGCTTGATCTTAGTGCGGCATTCAATATGGTGGACCATAGGATTTTAATTGAGCGCCTTGAGCATTGGGGCGGCCTAAAAGGCAATGTGCTGAAATGGTTTGAATCTTATCTTACGGATAGGTCTTTTTCAGTGAGAGTTGGGAACTGTAATTCTTCAAGATTACATCTTCCTTGGGGAATTCCACAAGGGTCAACCTTGGCGCCGTTGCTGTTTTTTGGATAATGTTATTTCATTAACATTGTCTGATCCAGGGGCCAGTGCTCTGCTGGAAAGCAGGAAAATGTCTGAGGAGGGCAAAAAGCTGAGGCTGAGCTTTCCCAATCCTCCTGCCCTGCGTATGATGAGCTTTTGAAAGTTATGGATCGCGCCACGGCGAGGCTTTACTTGCCGTGAAGCGAGTGAAGAAAATGACATCGTGAGGTCATCTATTAAAAAAAAACAAAAAAAAAACGATGAACGTTATTTTTCTGGCCATAACCCTCCAGCTCAGGTGAGCCTTCCTTTCTTCCTGTTTTCCATACAGAGATTGAGAAGGAATGGAAGAATTTTTTCTAAAATCCTGTATGGTAAGAGCTACGCGCAGCAGCCTCGTGCTCTTTCTGAGTGGTTTAAAACCCCGGTTCCGCCTTGGACACCACTCCACCTATGTATCCTCTGGATACCTACGTTAACCGGGTGTTGCTACTAGGGGTCTGTTGAGACAGTTCCTTTAGCATATGCAGAGTGTGCGGTAGCCCCTGTGTGACAGGCCAAGACTTAGTATGATTCTAGGCTCTTGGTTGTATTCCCTTAAAGGAATCTATTCCTGATTCCAAGCCTTGAGCTCTACCCCGGGCCCAGGAGTTCTAGCCCTAACAGGTAAGTTTTTTGGGTTATGTAGCCTAGGCCTTTGGCCGTAGGGAATAATGTCACTGACAGCCGTCTAACGTCCCAGGGCCAACTCCCATGGCAATATGGTAGAGTTGGTACTTAGTGCTCGCTATGGTTTCTGGCATGCACTCCCCTCAGCATGGTGGCATGGGTATACCGTTCAATTTAATAACGTTATTTGCACTGCTCTCTTGCATTACTTGATCTTTTTATTTTGGTGCGTCAATCTGTTGAGTTACTTAGTATAGGAAATTATGATCCGCACTCACAAGAACAATCTTCTTTTTTCTTTTATTTTACATTCATTACTGATGGGAAAAGACACAAACGTTTCGGCTCAAAGCCTTCCTCAGCGTGTAAAGCAATTCAATCCCTCCACCCACTTTTAAAATCACAAATTATATTGACGTCATCATTCATTAGCCAATGTTCAATTACCACAATCATTAAATCATTTCCACTTAAACCCTGGACAATTTACATATATACAGTATATATATCCAACACAACACGTCACATCCACTAGTACACCTCACAATATACCCGTGACTAAAACAATAGTTACCCAGGACCACATACTGTATATATCACTATTATACAAACTTATAGTTTATCCTATCAATCATCAATATCTACTCCACCAATTAACTTTAAATTGTATAACAATGGAAAATTCAATAATTAAGAACATCAGAAATACATCGTCATAAACTATCATTGTTTTTCACACTGTAAATACTCAATTTATTATATAGAATATTAAAAATGAATACGATCAACCATAGTTCATTAAAGAAAGACAAAGATCTAATTCCTCATTCATACCATTTGGGTTCAGTGATTTAAGTTTATGAATCCAAATGGGATATGAAAAGTGGGTATACTGTTCCCCATAGCGACCCCTAGAGGACTCAGTTCGAAGTTCCCATGAAAGGGAACGTCTCGGGTTACTTATGTAACCATGGTTCCCTGAGTAGGGAACGAGACACTGCATCCTCTAGGTTTCTTGCCATGCTTCGGACGCAAGCTTCAGACAAAGAAGTGGATGATGTTTTCTAAAATCCTGTATGGTAAGAGCTACGCGCAGCAGCCTCGTGCTCTTTCTGAGTGGTTTAAAACCCCGGTTCCGCCTTGGACACCACTCCACCTATGTATCCTCTGGATACCTACGTTAACCGGGTGTTGCTACTAGGGGTCTGTTGAGACAGTTCCTTTAGCATATGCAGAGTGTGCG